CTCGACGCTCTTTCTCGTTTGGTGCGGTAGCTGGTCTTTCTTTCTATCATTTTGTTTCTCTTCCGAGTGGTTTTTGTACCCTATTTTTTTCTGTTTCTTCGTGGGGTCGTGTATGCCGGGTTTTGAGACCACGGGCTCCCAATCTTTCTTTGTTAGAGCTAATGTGAGAAACAACAACAACAACAACAAACCGCGAGCCAGCATTTATTATCCATATTTTGGTTCCAATAACAAACAGTAGACTAGGGGTTGGGGGGGATCTCGTCGGATCCAGCTAAAAAAGTCTGCGAAGGAGGCACGAAACTGCATGGAAGTGGGCGATAGGGATACTGTACTGCACGACATCTTGCAATCGAGCAACAGAAGACGTGTCCAGTGGATGAATACTGTGTGGTCAAATGAAGATGGAGGCATGTGAAATCGAGTGGGTTCGTGTCATTCCTGTAAAAGACAAAATGGAAATCTTTCGTAGGTGGTGCATGTGCGCCATCGAGTGGCTTCTGACGTGTAGACTATGGTTGATTGAATGTAAATTCAGATCTTCTAGAAATGGTTCACAACGTTGTGCCGTAGAATTTGTCATGTGTACGTGGACGGACTGAAGAAACAATGGCATTCCCCGAGGTGTATTTCATCCCGATTGTCATCGCGAGAACGCGAGAAGCGGAGCTTGAAACGGGGTGGGACGACCAAAAACCCGCGCCAACCGTTGGCGATTATTACGCCGTGTGTCGGTCCCAGAACGGCGTGCTGTTCTGTTCATGGACAGAGGCGCAAACGTATCAAGGAGAGCCCTGCGCGTTGTTCACTCCAATTCGTTCTATGTTGGAGCTCTAGGTTTGATATGATTGCGCATAAAAGGCTGAAGACTAGCTGTTCATGCGTGAGGATGTCGATAACGGGCTGCGGGAGACAATTCGTGTCAGTCTCCGGCTCCGTTACGATGGACACAAACGATTCCCCGGTCATGATGGGACCACGACAACATTTTGGGAAGAATTTGTAGACTTTCCACTAGTCCACCATGTTTAACCGACTGCTGATTTTGTGGCACGACCGCCTCCGGAGTACAATGAAAATGTGCCACTAACAAGCGGCTACGTGAATCCGTCCTCGGGCGGAATACCTACTTCAGTATTCAACATGTGTGGGGCGTCTCCCGTCACCTCTACCATCCCTGTCACTACGTCGCAAAAGCACCTCACGCTGGTGGCCAGTTCCGGACGATGTTTTTAATGGGAATAGCCAGCACGCATTATTACGGACACGTTAACGATTCTCACCCCATATGCAAGTGAGCTCCTTCTGTCCCTCTCTCGCAGGGGTCCACTCGTACCCCCACAGAAACGTCTTACCCGTACACACATCCCTGAGGTGACACGCAGACCGAACTCGTATCCAAAGTGCAACAAACAACCACAACTGAGTAGCATGTTTGGCACCTGCCTTCGTGTCGATTTCGTCCAGTTCAACGCAGATATGCAACTTGAGCAAGCACCTGCGTCACGCACCAATCTGTGCTTACAGTCTCCACCCCCTAAGCCCAGGGCAATGTTTGGCTCGAAAGCACTCAAAAAAGCCGGCCATGCATGCTCCGAGATGAGGTCGCAAGTTCATTCTACATACATATCCGTCGATGGAAGCATGCTAGCCCGCGGACGGTTTGTTTCACGCAGCGGCTGGAGGAAGTTGTCGGCGCCTACCCCCCCCACCCCCATCTGTCTCTTGTTGTACACATTACTCGCGGAAAACGAGCGGAAATTACCTGCGCTTATATTTCCATCGAACATTGCTCCCATGATGATAACGAAGGCCCTGCTGTCTGCCCGGCACATCATGAGGATGTATCAAGTTCTTCTCAATTTCTTACAAGTTTTACCTGTAAACTCCACTCTCACTGCTTGCTACAATATATTCTTGGCGTTCTAAAGCCATCCATCCGTGCCCTCTCGTCGACGGAAGTTGCCTCCATGCTGTGGCACCGTCAGGTGTTTCGGTGTAGGTACAATCTATGCTAATCCATGCAGACACATCATCGTGTCCTTGTGCAGCGTATTGGCAATCGTATCTTGACCAGGGGTATCCCTTGGGTCTAGCCCATTGAAGGACCTCAAGTTGGCCGTCCCCTTCCGCTTCCTCGCACATGCTCGCGTCCCAGGGGTATCCGTTGTATGTTGCCCATTGAAATGTGGCCGTTCCAAGCAGCGTTTGAGCTGGTGTCCTTGTCCCAGGGGCATCCGTTCTTCCTGGCCCATTGAAGAACCTCAAGATGTCCGTTCGAAGCCGCTACGCAGCACGTCGTTCCGTCCTAGGGGCATCCATCCTTTCTTGCCCACTCAAGAACCTCAAGGTGTCCGTTGCAAGCCGTTTGAGAGCACGTACTCTCGTCCCAGGGGCATTCACTGCTTCTTGCCAATTGAAGCACATCGAGATGTCCGCCGGAAGCCGCTTCAGAGCACGTTGTCTCGTCCCGGGGGCATCCGTTGTTTCTTGCCCATTCAAGGCTCTCAAGGTGTCCGTTCTTATCCGCTTGAGAACACATGTCCTTGGTCCAGGCGCATCCGTTTCTCCTTACCCGTTGAACGACCTCAAGATGTCCGTTCGCAGCCGCTCGACAGGATGTGTGTCTTTGTTCCAGGGACATCCCTTGTTTCTTCTCCACTTGAGGAACTTACGATTCCCGATTTTGGCTGCTTCTGACACTACTTACATAGCATCTCTCACGTGGATACACCAACCCGAATACCTATGGATCGAAGGATGGTGATGGACCACACGTTAGTCAGATGATTGATACAACTGAAACAAACAAACCACATGGATGGATCTGATCTGAAAATAGTCCATCTTGCCTACGAGTTAAAAGTACCTCAATCTGCGAATGGCTGTGTTGGCCACGACGCATGGGGCGGCAGGGGAAAATCAGCCACCAGGCAGCCCTGATTGTTGTAGCAAACGTGAAGTATTCTGCATCAGAACGCCTTTGAGGACGCTGCCCATGCGTCTTACCTTGAAGCAAGTAGCACTGCTGCTTTCTCCGCTGCATCCTCCTCATGCCGCGCAATCGCATCGCCCGCCTCCAGCATGATACGTCGTACGCGAGCAGCGGTGCAACACGAGATATGTGTTCGTTGGCCAGAGTACACATATCGAGCTACCTGGCTATTGCGAAAGAAAACAACATATTCGCCTGATTGAGAGCGTAGCATCTGATTGAGAGCGAGATTGCGCGATACGCTGTAAGTAGCCGGACTACCAATGAGAGGTGGAGCTTGCTGTGTAGCTTGAATTGAAGGGCTAGCCCGTAGCTTCAAGCCGCTACCCTGGTCATCCTGTGGGAGTCTCTCGTTGTGGAGCTACAGCGGGGAGCAGAAGCTACAGCAGAGCCCACCGCCCGACGCGATACC